AGCCTTCAATGTCGAAAATGTTCTCTTTATTTTCTGGTAGGCCTATTGACGGCCACAGCCACACCTTACAGAACCAATCAATAACACTCATTATGACTTTTTCCCAAACTCGAACACAACTCCTACCGTCTCGTACTCCCTCCACACACACCGGAAAACGCACACACACACACCTGGAAGGGGCGGTCTTTCACTAACTCCCACAAACAACATTGCCTAAATAACTTTACAAATGTACTAAACTGTGCACATCTGATAACTGACATAACTATTAACTTGGACACGCTACAATAATATGATTAATATTTACATTAAAACATTCCTTTGACACTTATAACATTACTTTGCAAGGTAAGCACGACCAACATAAGTTGGTAAAAGCAACATTTGAACACTGTTTCTGTGCTCCTACAATATTTTTGTATAATAGGCGTGTGGTGCAGTGGGTTGACTGTTGGTGTTCGGATCAAGGGGTCACAGGTTCAAACCCCACTGCAGTCAGCATGTCGTCGTGTCCCTCGGCAAAACACTTCACCCCAAATTGCTCCTGTGGGGATTTCCCACAGTATTGAGTATGTAAGTCGCTTTGGATAAAAGTGTTTAACAAGTGACATGTAATGTAATACCATTACACCCTAAGCATACAAGTACACAATAACGATCGTTCACTGTTTCAACTGGCATGCTGTGGCATTTAACCACACCGCAAACAGACAGACACACCCACACACGGATGTCCGGCTCCGTTGGAGATCGCGGTCGTTTACGCCTGACTTGTGAGAAATCTTTCCATTTTCGATCTGTGTTCACATACTGAGAATTATAACAACATTAGCCAACAGTTCACGCTTTAACTTACGACGACCCCTGATAGATCTCGCGAGAATGTGTATAAATATATATAGATGCATTTTCATAACAAAACAATGGGGTTGCTAAGCCGTTGCTAGGCCAATTGTTGGAGTTGCTATAGCAATTACATTTCCATTCAACTCTCTGGTTGGTCTGGTGGTGTCTTGCCTTTGAATTCACTGAACACGGGAAATTACAATCCTGCCGTCAGTCCTGCCGTCCTCTCTAGTGTCATGATGAGGTGCAGGTAAAGCACGGTTAATGTATTATATATGATTCACTCAATAATATAATACATGACTTTGAGAGTAGGCAATCTAGACATATTAACACAATTAATTAAACACACTTATCACGGCGACGGTGTACTGAGATTATTATTATTTTTTCATTTTTTTGCTAGGGGGGCCTTATTGGCGGCGGGGCCCTAAGTGGCCGCTTATATCGCTTAATGGGTCGGGCCGGCTCTGACCGTATCGGGACAATGAGCGACATCTAGTGACGGATTTTGGAACATTGATCTGATTTTTCTCATGGCAGTTAGAGACAAACCAGGGGACTGTCCATTTGGTGTAGTATTTGATCTAATATTACATTTGGTTTATATATTAGTCACTTTGTTATGAAATGCCAGGTTTTAGGCCTTGATTTGAACATTCAATCCTGGAAATAAAAAATCCCCAGATTAATTTGTTTTTTAATCCTGATATAGAGTAGATAGTAAATCTGATAGGAAGACGAGTTAAGGGATAGAGGAGAAACGGTTATGGTATAATTACTGAGCCTGTCAATTTATACATTGAGGAGATCAATGTTAGTCTGTTAACCAAAGTGCAGCCATCTGATAATATACTATCTATCGTTAAAGATCAGAGGAAAATAACAGAATGAGAGGGGTCAATCCAGAATAGCAGTGAGAAGGAAAAACGCTTGGTGTGTCAATTCATTACATTGCCAGGATTTTTCGTTGTTGTGAAAAAAAAATCGCCCCCTCGTATTTTTTATCAGCCCCCTCAGTCATTTCGTCCTGGAGCCGGGCCTGGTTCTGCCGGCAATGCATATTACATTTTCTGAGGAAACTTTTCCACCAATAATTCCAATAAGTATTCCAAAATGTATTCACTTCAGTTTTACGAAAGTGTAATCAGATTACTCGTTTTTTAAAATGTAACGCCAGCTGAATACACTTCATTTTTGTATTCTGATTACGTAACGCCGTTACATGTATTCCGTTACAACCCAACCCTGTGTATATCTCTCCGGACTGTCCACCAGCAAATGAAAAACACCCACCTCTCCGCCTTTTCCAAGGGACGAGGGAACAGTGCGGCAGAGTTTCCGATAACATTGTTTTTCTTCTGACAGCCCAGCAGCAGGAGAGGTGGGGAGAGGGAGACGTGGGGAGAGGGAGGCGGGGGCTATTTCATCGTTATCAGAAAATGATCGTATAGATCGCTTTTTAAAAAAAAACAAAGTTCATTAGTGAACTTTGAGCCATCATTTATTTTTCAGGCAGCTCTCTGCCTCTCTCACGTTATTATGGCGCGCGCCGGAACCAACAATCAGTTTTTACTGTAAATGAGTTCGGTTCAGAGGATAAAACACATACAACATTAATTAAATTCGATATTTGTTCACTTGAATTTCACTTTGAATTCTTGGATATTGTCAATGGGTGAATAATTTTTTTTATAATAATAATAATACAATAATACAAAAAAATAAAAAACTTTTTTTTTTTTAAATGACACCGAAGCTTTCTCAGGGCGGGCCAATGAGTAAACTGGGTGGGCCTGGGCCCACCCTGGCCCACCCTGGCCCTATGGTGGCTACGCCACTGGTATACACACACACACTCGCGAGCGTTCAGCTTTTCGACACTCTCTTTTTTCTGCTCTCACGGTCATGGCCTTTCTCCATGGAGATATTTTCTTCCCAGTCAAAAATTCTGAGTAAACATTTCCCTAGTATTTTCAGTTAAATATCGCTTTGTGGTTACCTCTTTTTTAACATTTTTGTGAACAGAAATAGAGCTCTCAAAGAACACACAGGAATGATCAGAGAGTGTAACATCAGTCACCACAACCTTAGAGATATTCAGACCCTTTGAGATAATTAAGTCCAGAGTGTGCCCCTTATTGTGCGTGGGCTCCGTCACATGCTGAGTCAGTCCATAGCTATCAAGAACACAGAACAGTTATTTAGCCCCTCTGTCCTGGGGGTTGTCAACATGGATGTTAAAATCACCAACAATGACTAGACGGTCAAAGTCAATACACACTATAGACAGCAGTTCAGTAAAGTCATCAAAAAAGCTTGCACAGTATTTGGGTGGTCTATAGATATTTAGGAACAGAGCTCGAGAGGAGCATTTCAGCTGAAGGGCCACATATTCAAAAGAATCAAAGTTTCCATACGATGTCTTCCTGCATTGAAGGGAATCATTGAACAGAATAGCAACTCCACCCCCTTTCTTATGCATTCTTTCCTGACTCATAAAACTAAAGTTGGGAGGGGTTGATTCGATAAGAACAGCTGCACTGTTATTTTGTTCAATCCAAGTTTCCGTTAAAAACATAAAATCAAGATTGTGCTCGGTGATAAAATCATTGATTAAAAATGTTTACACACTCTCGCTTTGTATTATCCTCCTATTACCAAAGAACTGCTTTTGATCTTAATCTTGATTTCATTTCCTGCTGTGAGTGTGTGTGTGTGTGTGTGTGTGTGTGTGTGTGTGTGTGTGTGTGTGTGTGTGTGTGTGTGTGTTGGACTAGATCAGTGGTTCCCAAACGGTGTGCCGCGGCACACTAGTGTGCCGTGAAGCAAGTCCGGGTTTGCCGTGGGATTTTGTGACAACCATACATTATTATTGCAATATACAACTACACAAAAATAATTATTTTTTAATTTACTATGTCAGTACTTTGTAGGTTTATATGTACGTAATCTGTGCGACTTGCGCGTCCACATCTCCACGTGCAGTGCTGCATAAACATGGCTGAGTCAGCGATAACTCTCGAGGGGTGAAGGTATGCCCATTATTTTGAGTTGGTCCGAAGAATAGACAGGAATGTGACGGTGAGGTGCAAACTGTGTCCAGGCCAGAAGCTGTTATCCACTGCTGGAAACACCACGTGGTCAAACCTCAACAACACCTGCAAAGAACACATGCTAAGGTGAAGCTACCGCACACGCTATTTGTTGTTTGTTTATATCACGCAGTCTGTTCTTCTCTGTCTTCCGGTTGTTGCCTGTTTTGAATGACAAATACACACTACCGCCGCCTGCTGGTAAGGAAAGTTATTGCCACTCACGCATGCGCAGTTTGTACGTGCTCAGCGAGTAAAGTAACGAGTTACTTTATGTAGATAGTAACGAAGTAGTGTAATATATTACTTTTTTTTAGTAACGACCCCATCTCTGGAGTTGGCGTTCTCTACTCTGATTTACATGAAGAACAACAGGAGGTCACGGCTCTCTGTTGAGCAGGACTTGTGAGTGGCCCTCTCCTCAGTGCCACCAAGGATAAAAAAATTCTGCGCGCCTGACAGGCACATGTATCTCACTAATTTGTAAGTCGGCAAAATATTTCCAATAGCACATGTTTCAATGCTGATTGCTGAAATGTTACATTTATAATGTGTAGTTCAGGACCATGCAGTGCAGCTTCCTTGCATTGACAGTTCTCTGTGCTGAATTTCTGCTGAGTTTGCTTTGCCTCATTTTTAATGTTGTGACCTGTCTGGTTTAAATGAGTGTGTTGCTGCTTTGATGAAACCTAATTTGATAAAGTTTCAAATTAATTTCTGAGATATTTCGTTAATAAATATTTCACGAGTAATATAGTTGTCTTTGTCACATTTTATTTGGCATTAGTAAATAATTATGCACATTTACAGATATTTTACATGATATGAGTGATAACACGTGTTATAAGGGCTATTTTGCACAATAGGTGTGCCTTGAGATTTTTACTTGTCCTTTGGTGTGCCTTGGGCACAAAGAGTTTGGGAACCACTGCTCTAGAGGACCAGGAACATCTGAGACATCTGAGACATCTGAGACATCTGAAACATCTGAGACATCAACATATTGAAGACATCAGTCCATTCAACTTGTTTTTACTGACCAAGTGTTTCCTCCAGGTCTGGGTCAGGGGGTCCCGGTGGTGTGTCTGATCCTGGAGGGGGGTCCTAATGTAATCTCCATCGTGTTAGAGAGTCTGAGGGAGGAGCCTCCGGTTCCCGTGGTGATCTGTGACGGCAGCGGCCGCGCCTCCGATATCATCTCCTTCGCCCACAGATACTGTGGAGAGGACGGGTGAGGAACCAATATATAGTCCACTAACCGTCCTGCTTTCCGTCCTTGAAGAATGTGGTTGGGGGTCTGCAGGAAGGTTTAGAAGGTGGTTGCTTGTTAGGGTCCTGGTCTAAGGTGAGCTGGTAGATGATTGGGGGATCTGGACTCTTGCAGCAGTTTTGTGTCTTTTGTTATTTTTCACTGGCTATTAACCAGTAACTGGTTTCAATACATGTTCTCTAATCTCCCTGATCTTCCTCCTCCTCTTCCTCAGATTGCTGAGTGACAGTGTGAAGGAGCAGCTGTTGGTCACCATCCAGAAGACGTTCACCTACAGCCGCAGTCAGGCGCAGCAGATCTTCCTCATGGTGATGGAGTGCATGAAGAAGAGGGCACTGGTAGGCCAGACGTAAACATATTACTTGTTATTATGTATAGATGAATAGATAGATAGAATCATCTGCTACATAGATACATCAGACTGCAGGTGTCTAGTATGAACCCTGGGTAATGTAGTCTTTATGTAACGCCTCATTAACTTAATGACGCTGATAATGGAGATTGTTCTCTATTTATTGTGTGTGTAGATCACGGTGTTCAGGATGGGCTCAGAGGGACAGCAGGACATCGAGATGTCCATCCTGACGGCTCTGCTCAAAGGTGACTCACTGATCAAAATATAAAGAAAAACGCTCATTAAACAAAAAACAAAACAGAAAAAAGAAAACAAAATAACTAGCACTTATATACTAACTAAGCACTTATATACTAACTAAGCACTTATATACTAACAAAGCACTTATATACTAACAAAGCACTTATATACTAACAAAGCACTTATATACTAACAAAGCACTTATATACTAACAAAGCACTTATATACTAACTAAGCACTTATATACTAACAAAGCACTTATATACTAACTAAGCACTTATATACTAACAAAGCACTTATATACTAACAAAGCACTTATATACTAACAAAGCACTTATATACTAACTAAGCACTTATATACTAACAAAGCACTTATATACTAACAAAGCACTGATATACTAACAAAGCACTTATATACTAACAAAGCACTTATATACTAACAAAGCACTTATATACTAACAAAGCCCCCTCTATCCAAGATGGCTGATGGTGTGTGTTATGGCTCGGTAGCTCCCGATTCAAACCACCGGCCTCGACTAAAACCTACAATATATAAGACTGTTGACGGCCCTAGTTATTGTAGAGGATGAGTTACTCAACTTCCTGGCGGTTAAAATTAAAACTATGACCCAGGACGAGCTAGTCCTTGTAGCCTCTAACACCTTCGATTCCGAATGGATCGAGACTTCTAAAAAGACGTTGTTTGAACTCTGTCCTGAAACCAAGCAGCGGTGTGTGGCCTTTAAAGGCAACCAGAAGGATGCAAACAATATTAAAAGCTGCCTAAAAGTGCTAAATGAATGCGGTGAAAACATCCCCCGTTTTGTCTCCCACTACCTGGATGAGCTGCCGCCTGTTACGTTTAACAACCTGGATGTGTCCAACCTGCTGAGCAAGATGGAGCGACTGCACAGCGAGGTTTGCGCATTAAGACACGTAGTGGAAGTTCAGGCAGATATCGGTGAGGACCTGCGTGCTGTGGCTGCGACCATGGACAGCAGAGTTGCTGCTGTAGAACGCCAGTTGGAGCCGAGTCATGGTGGAGGACTGGCTGTACCAAGTGACGCTGAAACTACCTGTGGGAGCGCTCAGGGTAATGGTGCGGTGTTGGTGAAGGATGCGAGCCCCCCCGGCTCTTCTACTGATGTAGTACATCCCAACTGTGTTGACCCGCTCGCTGCGTCAGGGACCGTGAGTGCCTGTGTGAGCCCTGGAGGAACTGCGGTAAATTCGCAGGTATGGAGTCAAGTTGTGAAACAGGGCCGAGGTCGGAGGAATAGGGCCGAGGGCCAGTCTGCCTTATCTAAACAGCTTGTTGGGAAACCTGAACGGAGGATGCCTAAGCCTATTGTTGGCACTGCTGCACAAGGGAATATCAAAGTGATCCGTACGAAGTTGGTGAGTGTTTTTGCTACCAAATTCTCGCCAGACCTTGATGCTGAGACACTGTCCGAATATCTAACTGAACAACTTGGCCGTGATGTTAACTGTCACCGTATTGACACTGCAAGCAGCAGATATAGCTCGTTTAAAGTGTGTGCTGAGTGCAATGAAGTTGCGGAGATGTTTAACCCAGAACTCTGGCCTGAAGGCTCAGTTGTGAGAAGATACTATGAACCACGTAAAGCGGAGGTGATAGGGGCTAGCAGAGCTAGACCTTTTGCTGGTGCGAGGGTACTGAATGGGGCTACGGCTGAGCTGCTTAGCTAAACGTTATGCGGGTTGGATCATTTAACTGTCGCGGGCTGCGCCTGGGCAACAGCGCTGCTGATAGGATCCGACGTGTAGTGGTGGACAACTTGCTACAAAAATGTGACATTTTATGCTTGCAAGAAACTTTCTTACCAAAGCAGGACTTGGGAAAGTTGAACTCTCTTAATGACAATTTTCACGGGGCTGGTGAGTCCACTACGGACCTATCTCTGGGAATAGTGAGAGGAAGGATAGCAGGGGGCGTGGCTATCCTGTGGCACAAAAAGCTGGACACTGTCATTAATGTCATCAGGCTTGAAGTTGACTGGTGTATTGCTGTACAGATCAAAATGAATAACAAGGAGTTTAGCATTCTCAATGTATATACACCATATGAGTCACAGCATAATGAAGATGAATACCTGAACAGACTTGCTTTTATACATTCTTTTATTGCTGATAATCATTCCACCAGTGTTTTTGTAGTGGGTGATATGAATGCTGACATATCAGACAAAAGGTCCTTGTTTGCTAAGCATATGCTACAGTTTTGTGATGATAACAATCTTATATTATCAAGCCAAATACTTCTGCCTACAGATAGCTATTCATATATAAGCGAGGCCTGGCATACAACTTCATGGCTTGACCATTGCATAAGCACTGCTAATGCCCATGACACTGTAAGATCAATCGAGATTGTGTATGAGGCATCAATGTCAGATCACATTCCTTTTATAATGTCACTAGATTGTGATAGTCTCCCTGAGATGTCTCAGGAGGTTAAAAATGCCTGTAACACTAAAGTGGATTGGTCCAAGCTCACAAATGAGGATAGGCTATTGTACTATGGGAGAACTGATGTCCTATTGAGTGATGTATATCTACCCAAAGTGGCAACTCTGTGTGTTGATGTGGGTTGTAATGAAAACTCTCACCGTGAAGACCTCTGTAACATGTATGATTGTATTGTGGGAGCTGTATGGGAGGCCAGTAGACCGTGCTGTACCTACTCTAGGAAGAGACACAACGTCAAGCCAGGGTGGAATAAACATGTGGCTGATCAATATGCTGAAGCCAAGAATGCTTTTGGGGCCTGGGTCCAGGCAGGTAGGCCCAGAGAGGGGCCTGTCCTGGATCTCAAAAAGCGTACAAATGCTAGATATAAATATGCAGTTCGTTATGTCAACAAACACACAGAAACATTGAGAGTGGACTCTATGGCTGAAAAGCTGCTTCATAATGATGTGACTGGCTTCTGGAAGGAGGTGAGAGCTCTGAACAGGGCCAGTACGTCATTACCGTGTACCATAGAGGGAGTATCTGGAGCCGATAACATAGCTGAGTTGTGGAGGCAACATTACTCTAATATACTTAATTGTGTTAAAAGTGACCCCTACAAAGTTGGTGATGTTGTGAAGAGTGACACAGTGGGAATTACAGCTAAAGAGGTTTATCGAGCAATTGCACAGCTAGCTGATAATAAAGCATGCGGCTCTGACCGAATCACTGCAGAGCACCTTAAACTGGCAAGCCCGAAGGTTGCCGTTCTTCTTGCCATTTGTTTTACCGGCCTCATGACTCATGGTATGTTGCCAGACTCCATGTTGACTGTTACTTTGGTGCCTGTCATTAAGGACAAAGCGGGCAAGGTAGGGAGCTTGGATAACTATAGACCAATTGCTCTAGCCAGTGTGTTATCCAAAGTCTTGGAAAGAATTTTGTTAGATAGACTATGTTCCTATTTATGTACCTCAGATAACCAGTTTGGCTTCAAGGCTAAGCATGGTACTGAGCTATGCATCTATGCTTTGAAAGAAATGGTAGAAACATATAGAAGACAGAATTCAACTGTTCTGATTGGTTTCATTGATGCCTCTAAGGCTTTTGACCGAGTTAACCACCATAAACTGTTTTTAAAATTGAGACAAAGGGGTGTGCCTAACAGTATAATTAGGATCCTGGCTTATTGGTATGCCAACCAGAGCATGCGGATCAAATGGGGGAATGCAGTCTCTGCGCCATTTGGTGTTGGTAATGGAGTCCACCAGGGGGGGCTCCTCTCACCATGCCTTTTTAATATCTATATGAATGATCTATCAGATGATTTAAGTGTCTGTAAAACAGGGTGTGTGATTGGTAATGTGATTGTAAACCATCTTATGTATGCCGATGATCTGGCTATTGTTTCTCCTAGCAGTGCTGGTTTTCAACAGTTGCTAAATGTTTGTTCTGATTACGGAGTCAAATTTGACGTTAAATACAATGCTAAGAAGAGCGCTGTAATGATCTGCAGAGCAAAAGGGGATAAGAACCTTTGTTTTCCAACATTCTACCTGTCAGGACAGGTGCTGTCTGTTTGCTGTAACACTAAGTATCTGGGACACGTCATCACAGATGAAATGGCTGATGATGATGACATGTATAGACAGCGGCGTGTCTTATATATGCAAGCCAACATGTTGGCTAGAAAACTCTCTTGGTGTTCAGATAAGGTTAAGGTGAACCTCTTTAGAGCTTATTGCACTCCTCTCTATACTGCCCCCTTGTGGGTCAAGTATAAGAAGGCGAGCCTCAAGAAGCTCCAGGTTGCATATAATGACTGTTTGCGTATACTGCTTAGAAAACCAAGGTGGTGCAGTGCAAGTGAAATGTTCTGTAACGCACGAGTCAACACGTTCCATGCTCTTTTGAGAAATCGAATGTACAAATTCATCTGTCGAATGAATGTTTCTCATAACTCTGTCATTATGCTGCTGTCAAATCCGTGTCTCAGTGCTGTACGATACCAGTCACCTCTGTGGAAACATTGGTATCACAGCCTTTTTTAATTTATATTTGAGTGTTGTATGTTTTTGTAATAATGGACCAAGAGTCTCTTTAAATAAAAGATGATGATGATGATGAT